TGGAAGAGAAAATTATTCTAAAATTTGCACATATACAAAAAGATCTCTCTGATCGAAGCTAAATTGGGAGCTACTGAACCTATGGAAATATACAAAGTAGTACGATGAATGACAAATATTTTATGGTATAGCACGTGAATTATACCATATCTTTACTGTAAATAAACCATTTATTATTTTAGCTGTCGATGATAAGTTTCATTACTCCTAAATTATATATGATAAGGGATGGACAGATAGTCGTTAGAGATTTTTCATTGACGGGAACTTTGCCACAATAGTTGAATGCTAAGTGATTTGAAAACGTAATTTATCGCCTCTCGGTTCAATACCAACAACAATTAAATGAAGTTGGTACCAATGATGATTGTTTGCGTGTCATCTGATACATGTATATGACTGCAATGTATTTATTCTGAGGTTTGTGTAATCTTAGATGGAACCGATATAGGTGAAGTCCTACAATGGAATGGTTCCTGATTCCTGAGGAATGGTTTTCCTGATCATTTTTTAATTAGGATGCTCCTATTTCTCTCGAATTTTATTAACGCACATTGCAATTATCATCCTTCTCGTCTACGCTGAATTAGCTGTAGCTATGATTCTTCAAGCAAAGAGATTACTGTATCACTTCTTTTGATATGAAAATTATTATATTTTTTCAATTACCACTTTTTTCCCCTTCCTCCTTTCCAATTGCTGCTTTCATTTCCTCTTGTAAGCATCCATTTCAGCAAATTACTTTGCGCACAATGAGTTAACTTTACTCTTCATTTTTGCAATACAAATTCCAACAAAACGAACTGATAAAAGTTGAAATTCCAAAAAAAGTACTTTTAAAATTGCTAGATAATACATGAAAGTTTATCCATAATTTGATGGGCATAATTTAGATGTAGTAAGGAAAAAAACATTTCTGGATGAACAGCTAGGGTTATAAAACAATAGCTTGTAGCAAATCAGCATCTAATTCAAGGAGCAATTTAACTCATTTGCAAACAAATCGAATTCCAAGCAAGTAAATAAAAAATAAATGCAACCCAAAAGTATTAGTGAAAAAAAAAAAAACTAAAATTTCATAAAAAGTCAAACATAAATCCAACGAAACTCTGAAATAATTGTCAATCAACTCCTTATTCTCCTTTCTCTCTCATTCATTCTACTCTTTAGTTTACTGCAAATCCTGAAAACGACTCATCATCGAAGTACGTGCCCGTTCTCGCCTTGATGCATTCGCACCATGCAGTACTCTTGAACCAGCTGCACCCAATCCCGCTCCTTCCACCCGCATCTCTGTTGCTATTGGTGTTATGATACCTGTAAAACTTTATTTACATGCGCCGAAATAGAAATAGAGCATATAAATAAATAAACAAGTTAGTAAATCAATCAGTAAAACAAAGGGAATTTGCAAGCGATTTTGCACTGTCATATGCTTCAGTATTATAACCACATGACATCCAAGCTTCAAACTTCTGTGCCAATATTCACAATCTACAGATTTCTTTCCTTCTATCAAACAGAACCTGATTTCCGCCAGCAAAAAACTTTATACCTTGGTTGTTCTTTCCAATCCCTGTTCCTTCTTGCCAACCCATCGATTTTAATAACTTATTTCCTATGTTTGTGTCGTCGATTGGAATGTCTGAAGATCGTACCGCATAATCCGCCCCAACTTCTACACTTTCACTTGTAAAACCTGGAACAGAATACAGAAATAAAGAATTATCTCATTTGTCATTAAAACGAAAAAAAATAGTAAAGAATCAATACCGTAAATCTTTTTTAATCTAGTAATCGCTTTGGAATAATTAAATTTTTTCTTAGTAATAAAGCATGCATACAATGTGTAACATAATATTTCAACAAACAGCTCCTTCGATCATACCTCGTACCCTGAATTACAAAAATAAAAATTTCAAAAAAAAAGCTGACCACTTGGGTCTAATCCAAACAAGTTACGACGTTCCTTTGCGCGATCGCGATATTGTTGTGGAACGAGTGAACATGATGAGGCACCTTGCAAGGTAGACACGGATGGCACCGACAATGATGCATTGTCATCGAGAGATAATAAATGTGCTTCCAGATTTTTCTAGAAAATTGAATAATATAATGACAAAATTAGTAAAATTTACAGAATTAGTAAAATTATTTATATTTGATTCCCAACAATGCTAAATAGAAATTCATTTTGAATGAAACTACCATATGAGCTATCAAATACTTAACATCTTACTCTAAGCTATCAGATATTATTCTTTGTGGGGCGTATACTATGTCCAAGGACATCCTTTATTTAAGTGCATACAGAATTTTGTCATTTTCATTCACATTATAAATTTAAATAATCTGTCATACGACTCATCATTCTTTATCTCCACAGAGAAAAAAATCATCTAAATACATGTGCGTTTAGATGATTATATATCAACGAAAGCTTTCAAAATTAGCGAAAGCTACGATGATTCTCTTTATGTTAGTTGGGAGAAAAAACTACAGCTATTATATGCATACAAATCCAAGTACATTTTAAGGCAGTATGATTTAAGCATGGCATTCGATGTCATTTTTAGATCTACATAACCAAAATTTTTTATAATACCTTATGAAGATCTGACAATCGAACATGTTTCATCAAAATTTCTAAACTTGCAAATTTCCGTCTGCACAAAATGCAATATTTTTTTTCAATATCAACAAAATTTTCATCCGACTGTGACCTGAAAAAATTTGGTGAATATAGAACAAGTATAACTTCGAAGTAATAATTTGAAGACTATTCAGGCTAGCTAAGTAGAATGATATACTGAATGTAGGAAAACATACGTCTTGACAGGTGGAATAACTGGATCAACAACTGAAGGCGGTGGTAAATCAGCTGCGTGCTGCGTTAAACGATTTCTACCTTTGCTATTCATTGCTACACGGCCTACACCAATTGCTGCAATCTTTGCTGCTGGTGGTATTTCTTCCTCTTCATCATCATCACTGAATGAGCCGAATGGATTCTGTAAATACCCGGAATTTCAATCAACCAATAAAAACCAATTCCATCCTATATCTACTGATAACATCAGAAAATATTCGGAACACTAGATGAAAAATGAAAAAAATCGCTAACACTTGTTTTTTCAAGCATTTTATATGTAAGATCAGCAGTTGGTTCCACGGTAGTTATTTTTGGCTTGGCAGCAGTTACTAGAGGTGATGTTGTTTCCAACTTTGGAGGTGCTTTGACAGCTAATAACACTTTACTCTGTTTCTTAGCCCAACGTGCCATTTCTCGCGCAATATCTTTCGCAGTCTTTTGAGCCTAAAAATAAGCAAGAAAAAACTTTGAATTTATTTTCAAAAAGAGAATCTTTTGGAACTTTTCAACGAGAAGTCAAGAAATAATCACCAGAACTTTTGAGTAACCCAACTGTAGGCCTTAGACATATTCTAATAAATTTACCTCTTTTTTTGGTTCTTCCTTCACTGCTTCAGTATGTTTCTCGATAGTTTCGTTTTGACTTTCATTTGTTACAATTTCTGAAAATGAATATCTTAAATGATGTAAGACGTGAGATTTTTGGCAGTTTCTGCTCATCAGATATACTTGGTACCATAACGAATTTCAGCCTACCTTGACCGGTTTCAACTTGTCGGGACATCAAATCACACGGTATATATGTTTGATATGTTGCGTTCCAGCAATTCCATTTCTGTGCGTTAGCATCCCAATAGTACTGAGAATTGCTGTCATAGTACAGACCTGTTGTTGGATCATAATACAATCCGGAAGACGGTTCAAACTGATACATAGTTGGATTTGGTGCACCTATAAAAGCAAAATCTAATTAATTGAGCGACTTTCATTTAATGAAAATAATTACAGCTATAAGTTTACACATTTTCAAAATTTCTGAAATCGAAAAAATTCATACGATATCTTTTATAACGTCCCCAGGGAGTTTCTATGAAGCCCAAATCGACGGCTCCTTTGATTTGTGGCCCGGTATAAGACGCCGGTGGTCCTTGTGCACTTCCTCCAGACGGAACGCTTTGTAAATCCTGCAAATAGAGTGGAAAGATTCGCAAGTGCCAGTAGTAATTTTAATACAGCACTAATCTTCTATATTAGTAGATATTAAGTAAAATATAACTTCACAACACTAATTACCTGATTGGTTATATCATCGACACAAACAAAATTTCTGTCAGCTGCAGCCTCATCTTTGAAATAATCGGTAACAACGAAATTTGTCTCGTGCGGTAATGGCGGTGGAGGTCGATTAAGAATTGGTGGAATTGCAGTTGCCGCCGCAGAATATGTCGGTAGTACCTGCTAAATAGATACCGTACAGGATATGAACACTGTAGAGAGTAGTTCCCTTTAGTTATAAAAAACTCGAACTCAATAAAGATCAAAAAAGCTTCTTTAATTGTTATTTATATAAAGCTATAATCAGATAGCAGCGCAACAGATGCACGAAGGAAAATGTACTCCGAAAATCTCAATAAAACAAAGAAGAGAGTTTCGCGTATCTGCTGAAAGGGGTTAGATTGAAATTATTGGAAAATTCAATTTAAGATGAATCAGACTGAATAGTTTTAATCAATGCATTGTTAATCTTTATTTGAGAAACTCAAAAACGGCAAAATGCGGCCTTTAAGTGTGCCGACACCAAAATCATTCAACAGTCTCAACAATTCCAGAAGAATTACTTCCTCAAGAACTTATTTTTTCGAATTTCTTTTCTTAAATATGAATTTAAATATGATTCAAAGTCTAAAATACTGTAAAAAGACAAAAAGCTGGAAATAGAAAAAAAAAACGATTACAAACCGTATCACCGGTATTCATCATTGAATTCGTCATCTGCCGAATCAATTGTGCTTTTGCGATGGCCAACTGCGCTGCTTCTACACCAGCATTACCACCTGAAAAAGATCATTAACTCAACTGAACTAATTATGAAAAAAATTGAGTTCACACTAAAGCAAATCATAATCTATTATGAAATTGAATCAAATCATCTTAAACTGATAAATACTACAAATCAGATATTGCGCAACTTGAGACCATGAAGTATGCAAATTTCAAGGTGTTAAGTGTGGAAGCATCAGCTACTAAACTATTACTTGGTCCAGCTGTTGGCCTAAAAGCAGGCATCTGATTAATACGTTCTGCAGTTTTTTGCATTGATTCGGTAGCTGCCGTTGTTGACAAAACTGTATTCAACGGTAATCTCGAATAAGTAACCATTACTGAAATTTATGAGTTTTTGGTTTTCATTTCGAACAAACCTCATATGACATTAAAAAATAAATGTAAAAGTCAAAAAACTACCAGTACCACAATAAAGTATATATTCTAGTGAAAAAATTCGAAATCATATCAGTATGATGGAATATCATGACTGTTTATTAGGTGAAGAAATTTACCGGCACAACCATCGATAAGTAAAGGTATCTTGTTTAGTGTTAGCATAATTCTTTCCGCGTCATCAGCACTACGCATTTGAACATAAGCATAAAGGCCCGACTCAGCAATATGAACACGTAAAACGTCCAATGAAGATATTCGATTCATTTCTGCTTGAATTTTAGCTTCCGTACAATTTAACGGTATTTCGCGGAGCAGAAGAGCTAAAAACAATTCATACACAACAGCTAAACACGATTTTTATTTGGATTTAAAACAATATTTCACTCCCAAAATTGGCTTTAAAGCTTGACCTTCGCATAGATTTTTAGAACAGGCTTTTACAACTAATGGACAAAAATTATTTCCATAGAGTTATGCAAAGATAACACTCACTATCACACTTTGCGACACCAATTGCTGCATAGCCTTTCCTGGTCAAACCATCTGATTCCATTCGCGTTAAATTGCATTTGAAACATGCTCCACGATTTTTAAAATTTTTTATGGTACACTGCAAAAACAATGTTTTTGACATATATAAAAGCTTGAATTTTTTGCAAAAATATGAAATATACGCTAAAAATAAAAATATACTTTTGCACACATCCAATCGCCTGAACCAGAGATACCCGATGATCGCCCATCCAGGCTATCATAACGCGAATACTCTAACTTAACTGGTCGTCCATCATCCAATAACAAAGTTCCCTGAAAAAATAAGATCACTTAAAAATGGACGTGAATACAACCGCATGACCTGAAACACGATTTACGCGGTTGCTACTTTCACGCATTTGACACTGTTGTGAAAATATAGGGTAATCAGTCGTTGTTCAATACAACCCACGGGAAAAAAATGCTGAAAATGGTCGTTCAACGTGTGAAAACGTTAACCGATCCTAGAATTCCGCAATGAGCAAGCAAACATTTCGTGTAAATTTTCAGGATTTTTTTCCGGAACGAAATCCAGCTGTAACGAAATTACCACCCCTGTACCTTCGCAAACTACAAAACTAAGCTTTGATCACTCGCTAGGGGAATAGGAACCTGCAGTTTTCTTACGGATAAAAATTATATATACAGTGTTAGACCTTGTTGTATTCCATCCAAGCTTGTGCGCTATTCACATCTCCGAATTCCACGAATCCGAAACAACGGTCTGGACCTGTAGTTATTGCAACAAGTTAATGACAATGTAAGATTCTGAATTTAGAATCCACGATACTTTCCTTCGTCTGGATGCAATATTCACGATACTCGTTATCTATTTTTCAACTATATGTTGCTAACATAAAATAAACGATATACACGTCTGATATAATTATCTTATCCTAACCTAACTTTACATTCCAGGTAAAGATATGTGCTACCACATCAATAATTTACCGGAAATTTCCGGTCAAGTCCACCTACTCACCCGTTTAATCACTTTTCTCCTGTATAGAGCAAATTTCTGCATCTCTGTAGGATTTAGAATCAATGATACTATCATCTTCAGGTATTAACAAGATCATTTTATATATCTGATAGCATTTTCAAACAAATTGAAGCTTTCTTCGAAAAGTACAAGTTTTTGCCGTAATTTTCTATAGAATATTACTCTACATATTTACGTAATAGGCAGTCGTTCACTGATAGAAGTTACGAAGAAGAACGAAAAGAAGTCTTCTGGTACAGAAACAAAAAAATGCAACAAGTAACCAAATAATATAAACAAATAAAAGCTCCAGCAAAACAAAATGTTAAGTAATACATCAAATTTCAAAAACTTGGACAACGTAGAAGAAATGACAATTACCTTTGTGAATTATACGGATATCTTTCACTCGAAATCCTTGACGTGCTGTGAGTGCCATTAGCTAAAAATTATAAAAATATACTGACTTCAGAGAAATTAATCAAATTTAAGACAAAAATTAGAATTCGTATGAACGTTAAATCTTGTTGTAAAAACAGCACGAAAATCAAGTTCTTAACGTTTGTCAATGGCTTCAACATTAGTAGAATCAGTAACTTGCAGAAAACAAGGTCGATATCTGGCAAACTTTGATCAAAGAAAAATAAATGAAGCAAATCTAAACAACGGCGGATATCAGCGCCAGTCAAAAAACTATCAGGATGAAAACTAATAAGAAAACCTTACAGAATCTCGCTGTGAATCGGTCGGCAACATTTTCATAACGATTTTGTAATGCGGTTGTCCATAGAGTGCCGTATGTGATGCGTATTTATCAGTTTGTGACTGGGCTTGCATGGAAGACAAGTAGGGCAGTGCGCTTGAAAATTCTCTTGGCTCCTAAACGGCTACAATTTCGCGAGTCCAAATAGCATCACGACTTTTTTCGAGTATAATTCACGCAAATGAAGCGTAATTTAAGTGTTCACGTGAAGCATATATTAAAAGTTGTTGGATGCTGAAAGACCTCTCTGTCCCTATCGATTGAACGACGTCTCCGGTCGAAATCCTGACGCGGCGAACGGTCATGGCTACTACGGCTACAACTACGACTGCGACTACGGCTTCTACTACGACTCCTTCCGGAAGATCGCGATCTCGAATAACGATTTCGACCTGCAGGAATTTAGTTTTAAACTTATTTAAATTTACAACTGAAAATTATATTTCATAAAAAAAAGTAAAGCGAGAGATAATAAAAATCAAATACTATAGTGTTACTTACGTCGCCGATCTCTGGACCATGATCGGGATCTAGAATGCCCTCTTGAACCACTTCGTCGATACCTGTCATTACGTCTGCAAATAATTTCTTCTAATTTTACTTCTAATGAGAAAGCCTATTAATTACAATTATAAGCCATATTACACACTATCTCATAATCACTAATGATAAATAGTTAAGACAATCTTATTTGAATTCGATGTTAGTAAATACACTACTTATGCATTAGTCAAGACTATCTACTTTTCATTCGAAACTAATACTCGTCTATTCCACAAAAATTCTAATTAAAGCTTGGAATTTTCCCTTTTCCCTTCTCAGTCGAAAAAAAACCACCAAAAAAAATTAATTTGAAACATACATTGATAACAAAAATAATAAAACTTAACCACATACCTTTCATTATCATAGCTGCTACAACGATCGCCATCACCGCTATAAACAAACGGAAGCATACTTTTCGATATATGCCTTTCCCTGTATTCCACTATAAATCGTAGGTGTTTTTTATCATATAAATAGCAGAAGATAACAATGCATGGTAAAATTTATTATAACAATAATACTGTTAAGCTATTATTCTTAATCAGTCTTACTCAAACTTAAACAAGGCAATAATTGTGTAATTTTGATTTTCACCATTTATTATCATTAAAACATGTTTCGATAATACTACCAAAGTACTAACGATAATTCATCAACTGTCACTATTTCAACAAACATATGAATATATCCACTGTAATGCCACAATAATATCACTGTTACGGTTATCATTATAATAATATAATGATATAGCAGTGCATCATTTATCATAATAACTTGCAACAGTAAGATTTCACTACAACTACGCTACCATCACGATATTACTATCTCGCTGATAACAGTGATACTATTATCACAACAGCATCCGACAGCTTGACAACACTCCCCTCAACATTCCACTAATCGATCACACAATTTAATGCGGCCCATGGACATAATAGAGGTACTTTCTGCTATAATCAGAGCATGCGGTTATACTGTAAGATGTAATCCGTACAAATGGTAAGCAATCCTTCAGGGAGAATGAGGGATAAGTATGGATTAAAAAAGTACGATTTTAAATTAGATAAATTATGTATCAAAAGTTCATAAGATGTAATTGCAATGCTGTAAATTGCTTAGTATTGCAAAAACAATTTGAATGGGATTTTTGAAATAAACCGAGTAGAACTTTCTTCAATTATTTCTTGCTTTCGCTTTTTGCAATAAAGTTCTACTCACTTAAAGAATTTATTAAGAGATTATTTAAATTTATTTATTCATCTAGTTTCCGAAATATTAGCAGTACTGTATATGGTTCCCGATTAATGCCTCAAAAGATATCAATGATGTAAACTATTAAATTGTTCTGTTTAATTCACCTACTTGATATATTACCTATGAGCGGTTCTTTATGATGTTGATAATAACGAAGTAAACTCTTATCATGTTTATGTCAGCATGGAACACATTTTGACCATACGATAAATTACTACGATATACTTTGAAACAAATTTGGAATACTTTAAAGGTAGAGACAGCTCTGAAGTACATCATATCACCCATTCGTTATAAAATCACTACTGATTCAAGTTTCGGGAATTATAAATTTCGAGATTGGATGACAGTTGAATGACGGTGGCTTAATTTATAATGAAATACTCAATAAAATGATGACGTCCACTTCCTATAAAAGAACTTTTTTTTTTTTAATTAAATATATTAAATACATTGTTTCGTTACCAATAAAAAAACTGCTATGATTGAATCTTTCTGATTCGAGTTAATGTTTTCAGATTTTGTTATTCAACATTTTTAAAATCTAAGAAGTTTCAAAATGTAACCTAATACACGTGAACAGTAGAAATAGTATTCTCTCAACTTTCCAACTTCAAAATCAAAAATCTCAGTTAAATTAAAATTCAGTGATTTTAAATCATTTCATATGCAAATTCTTGATTGTCTCAGTGATATATGCATTTGACCTATGCAAATTTTTGATTGAACTTTCGCGTGACAGGATTGTTTCATTTGCATTCAGTCCAAAACAGCTCATTACGAGGGCTGCGTTTTACGGTATGTTACGGGTTGCTATATTTTTGTTCGGTCGCTCAAAGTATTCGTTCAGGTGCAGATAGTTGCTGATTTAAACGTTAACTGGCTTATTTAAAAAAAATTCATTCCTATTTTATGTTTTGGACTTCAGTATTGTGATCTTGATTTGAATATTTTTCCATTTATGTTTTTTATGGTTCCTTTGATTCCACCATTTTATTTATGGTTTGAGGACCAGATTTGTTTTTCCTTTTAACAAACAAAACTAATTTTATTCTTTGTTTTTCCTTTTCTCTCTGCATCTTTCTCCCTCTTTTAGATTGTGTTAGAATTTTCGTACCTCCTAACTTCGTTTTTTAGCTGAATGGAATATTTGATAAAATCCACTTGCACTTCAGCTATCATATAAAACTTTTTTCCCCTAAGGTTTTCAAGTGTGCATCGCATAATCATTGAATGTTGGTGAATCGATGGAGAATTTTTTCAAATCGGTGTCGAGTTATTGCTTGTGAATTATTACATCATCAATCGTTTGTTTAATTCAGTTGATAACCTTCATAATTTTGCGAATACTCATGTATTGCTGTGGTAGTTTTACTTTCTAAACAAAACAATAAACAATTTAGTTCCCAGTCAAAGAAATATCCTGATTAGATTATTCGTCGACTGAAGTCTAGAAGTTTGGTCAGTGATGTTCTTAAAAATTGATAATTTCAGTTTTATTAGGTTTACAAGCTACAGTGCACTAGTTTTTAAATCTGGTGATTAATTTTACTACGAGTTAACTTTTCACTAACAGATGAAATGCTTTATCACCTTTTCATTGTTCATTGTTATCCACAAACTTCTAAATTCATTTCTTATTGAATTTTTCGGCAGGACGAAGTCGCATGGTGCCGTTGTTCAGAATGCTAAAAGATTCCATAGCAGAAGAAACTTTGACGATATGAATCTTCTTGAGTTGCAGCTACTTTACATTGAATGATTTGTCGTTGGGCCGTGAGACTTTCATCAGCTTTCTATGTAGTCGACATTTTGTTCTTGGTTAGTTTAGCAGTTCTCTGAACTCATCCAGATATACTTTTTTGTCCTTCACATTCCCAAATGAAGGTATATACTTAAATGACTTGTAAATTCAGTTGGACTCATCAGCTTCTGGATCTATCAAACTTGTTTTATAGTTCAAAAAAAGAAATTTAAGGAAGCACAGCAAAAAATAGCAAGCAGGAAAGGATATACTACTGTGCAATAACAATACAGTGCGGACTGACTGAAATATTTTGCAGAGATTGTTGAAATGATAGCTAAGATGTATTCATAGATATGTTTAGGAAGGCGCATAATTTATTTATTTAATAATCACCTTGCTTTGCTTCCTTGCGTTGCACATTTTGTAAGGTTTTGCTTGTTATACTGCAGTTCAGTCTTCGATTGAGAATCAATATTTAGAATTCTTTGCCATACATTTTCCGTAGTTAATCGGATTTTCATATTATTGCTAAATGCGTGATAGTTGTGTTTAAGATACGAACTTGTCTAAGTTTAGGTCAAGGATTATGCTAATTCAAGTAGCTTTTTTTCATAGAGTTGTGCAGTTGACAAAGCTGCTATGAATTCAGTTATTTTTTATAATTAATTCGAGCGGACAGATACGAATGTTTTTATTTTGCAATACCTTGTTTCAGCATTACGGTTTTAGGGATATAGTGCCATGGAAATTAATTCCTTCTTTGGAGGAGAAATTTGCTTGAATTGAGTGTATCGTCAGATTCACTTTATTCCACCCAGTTTGGAATAAATCACTTTCCTAATAATCACTTTCCCCGGAAATTCCCAGTAATTATGCAAGGGAAGTTTAAATGATGTTATGATGAGTGACATTATACAAGATTATTATGACGGTACAGTTATTGCCAATTAATTAATTATTAAAGTTACTCACGTGAATTAAACTGTAATATGGCGATTTTTTTTAATTATAAAATTTTCAGATGAATCACCTGACGTTATTATATGACTGCGCGGTCACTACCGTAAGCACCTATCGAACTGTTGTTGTTCTTGTTATAGTAGTTGTTGTTATCATTGTTGATTTTATCAAGCGAACATTATTACAGCCGCCTTCTCAATTTCCTTTAATTTTTAGGTTTCATTAAATTTTTGTAATAGAAGAAAGAACTTTTAAATTTGGAAAGCACGTTTCCAATTTAAATTTTAACAGAAAAATACTTTTTAAAGGGAAACAAAAAGTAGCTATGATGTTTTTTCTTCCTTATTTGTTTACATCTGCCAGTTGTTAGGATATTCTTTTAAAAAAGAAATGAAATTGTGCACATTCATGAAAATGTTTCTCTTTCACTTACGTAAAAATGAAACATTCATGCATGGGTAAACAAAAAGAGCTTTCAGAAGCAAAGGACGCGTTCTAAATTGACGGCCGGCCGTGTTTGTTGTTGGTATCATAACTCGAGGTGGAAACTGAGGGAAATGCAGCACATAAGGTGTATGTATGAAAGCGTTTTCTTCCCTTTTTCCTTTATTTCTGTTGTCATCATAACGGCGTACTGATTATATGCATTTGTATTAAAGAAAAAAGAAGTAGTCGTACTTCTTTACGCAAACGTCTGGAAAATTAGAAAATGCGATAACTGGTGGAACACTTGATTAGGCTGAAAAATTAGAAAATTGAAAAAATTTTGCTGTGTTTTTTTTTTATTTCTTAGCTTGATTAGTAATAGTGGTGAATGATCCAAGCAAAATTTCCTATTGCACATTTTTTGTAGAGAAGAAAAAGTTGCTACTTGCTGGTCGCATTAACATACACTTTTATGATTTTGCAAGTGCTAAATTTCAGTTTTGTTTGGCAGATTTTAAACTCTGATAATATATTAGAAAGTGGGGTTTTAGACATTAAAATATCATGAGGAGTTTTTCTAGAATGCCGGAATTACTCTTGCAAAAATTGTTTTACAAAAAATAAACTGAGGTTTGTGTTAGACATTTTGATCAGTAAATATAATTAGAGTAGTCCAGTCTGATCAGCGAATACGATAAGTCCGATTTGATCAGTTTGCTTCCTTTCGTTTTTTTATACCGGCGTGTGAATTGCTTCTTCAATTCGTATGGTTCATATTAATGAATTATCTTCGGTAACCAAATTTGTTCATCAGATGGCTGTAGTAATGGATGCAGGAAATACCGCCATAGAAATGGAACTGGATACTTCCGGTGAAATGAATGATATAACAAAAAATGCTGTTTGCGAAACTGACGACAGCAACGAGAAGCGGAAAGCTAAGAAGAAACACAAGCATAAACACAAACATAATGATTCCAGTCATGACGAGGAAAGCAAAAGACATCACCATAAAAAAAAGAAAGATAAAAAGGTTTGTTTTCTCCGAAGTTTGAAATTTCAATTTCGGTAGCTCAAGTACTTCAAAGAAGTTCTTTAGGGATATCAAATTTAGCATACTCAAGCTTGTTTGAACAAACATTTCAGTCTGGTATTTAAAATTGGGTATTATTTGGTCATTATTCAATAAGTATTGTTTGGTCACCCTTTTTCTTTAACGACTCAAGAGTTTTATAATTTATTTGGAGAGTTCTGCTGGATGAAATGATTGCAGATAAAGAAACATAAGAAAAGTAAGAAAAAAAAGAAGACGGATGGCGATAAAGAGTTTAGTGATGTTGAACTCGATGATCTGGAAAAACCGAAGGAAGTACTAGAGAAAAGACTACAGAAAGACGATGGAAAGAAAAGTAAAGGTTATAGACTCATTGAATTTTCTTGGGGTTACAGCACAGCTTTTCATTGCGTTTTCTAAAAAGAGTTTCTGATGGTACCGGTCACTTTTAGTGCATCTTTGTTTAGTTGTTGTTGTCTAAACTTTCGAAGGAATTCAGCATTTAGTTTTCTTTTCTAGAAAAATAATAATGCAGGGACTCTGCATTGATCTTTTAGTTTGATTTAAATTCATGTCTAAATTCATGCCTCTTCAAAGGAAATGATAGCTGAAGTAATGAGTTTTTCATTATTAATCTTTTTATTGATAACTCAAATGTGCCGCTGTTTCAGGTAATTCAGATGAACAAACTGGTAAATTATCAGAATCTGACAGCGATAGTTTATCTTCTCTCAGCAAAAGGGAAAGAAAGCTTGATGAAAACAAAGAAATATCATCAAAAAGTGAAGTATCGTCTGCTAGAAATGGAATTGAGAAAGTAGATGACGATGCCGGAGCAAGTCAAAAATTGGTGACTGAGAAAACAATTACAATAGATGAAAAAGTGACAAAGAAGACAAGTCCATCACCGGAAAGAGGGCAAAAGCGTACATATTCAAGAGAATATCTAAAACATTCTGAACAATACGAATTGGCAAAGAGAAGGAGGAAAGAGATTGAAGAGATGCTGAAAAATGATGGACAAAATAAAGAGGATAAGATGGAAGCCGACAAAATGCTGGAAGAGAAGACGAATTCGAAAAATGAGAAAAGAGGAATACAAGAAATCAAGAAAGATGAGAAGATAGAGCTTGAAGGAATAAAAAGGAAATCTGTTGAGAATAATGAAAGCACTAAAAAAGCTGACAATGAAGAACATAATTCGTCGTTTGAGCGTAAAAATGACCGAGAGAGGCGAAAAGAAGGCGAATTAAGTTCGAAGAAACGAACTGATGTGAATCGATCGGGCGACGTTAAACGGCGCAGTTGTTCAATTGATAAAAAGCGTGGATATAATGAAAAAACAGAGGAACGGCGATCGGAGTCACGAGATCGTAGAGTTCGCCGTAGTGCTTCGAAGTCCAAAGATGATAAACGCAGAAGTAGCTCGAGATCAGGTCGCGTGGGGCGTGAACGAGACCGTAATCGTGAGAGACGTTCGGACAGACGATCCCGTTCAGTGGGACGGCGTATTCCACGCTCCAGGTCTAGGTGAGTTTTTTGCATTTTTCAGTTCAGTTTTGCATAGTTGTTGTAGATAGATCTTTATTGGCGTTAAATCTTGGACATTTTGTTACAGATTTCTTTGTATCAAACTTTTCACCATCATTTGTGTTTCTACTATTATAGATCTAAAGAACGACTGCGAAAGGACGGTTCGAGATCTAGAGATCGAACTGGTCGTGAAAGAAGCAGATCACGCCGAAGCAGATCTAGAGATCGCTCCCGTCGGAGTAGATCTCGAGATCGTTCTCGCCCTGAATTGAAGCGCCGCAAGGAATCATCTCGAGAGCGAGAAAGGCATGAACGAGCTAGATCGAGGGATCGACATAGTGACCGAGTAAAAAGTGAATCTCGACGAGATTCGGGCGGCAAAAATCAAAGTCGACGCGACGATGTCTCAAAATCTGAAACTAAAGTGCAGAAGTGAGTTTCCAAGGAATAGCTTTATTTATATCGTCTTGTTAGCTATCTTCAAAAACGCAGGCTGTAGAAGTAAATTTTTTCAAAAGTCCCAAAATCGCTAATTATATAACACCAGCCAAAATTGACTATGTTCAGAGACCGGAAAATAGAACAGTATCATCGGGAAGACAGTGTTAGTTCGATCGAATGGGAAGATCCTGACGAAAAAGAAGAAAAGAAAATTCAAGAGCTTCGAAAACGTCGTGAGCAAATTATAAAAAATATTGAAAAGCAAAATGATGCGAAGGAACGGCCAAGGTGAAATTTTATTGGTATTTTTATTTTAAGGAGAAAGTTAAAAAGTTGTTGCATCCTTTGTCCATTAAAAGAGAGTTGTGATTGTAATTTTTCTAGAGCAAAAACTAATGTCGATGAGATGATATTGAATGAAGATGATCGCAAAAGAACAAATTTCAAGGCAGAGAGTATTAAACAAGAAAGGAATTTTGAGAAATCTGGAGATGAAGAAACATCAAGTCAATCAACTGATGAACAATTACTGCGACAAGCTGAGCAGGAACTTCAGAAAAAACATGACAGTGATGTGTCTTGCTGCAGTAGTCCGATTTCACCAACCGGCGAGGATACACCTGCAGATTTTTATGGTGACTTGAAAGAAAAAATGGTTCATATCAAGGTTTGTTTAAAGTTTTGGCTTTAGAGTGTTGAAATTTAGTTAATAATTTCTTTATCGAATTATCTTAGCGTGATTTTACATAGGGCCAAGAAGAATCTGCTGTTGATCGTGCATTGAAGAAAGCAGTAGAAGAGGAAGCGGAAGAACTACGAAGGCAACGAGGAGAGGACACTAAACAGGAAATGGGAAACAAAATATCCGAAACCTGCACCACTACTACATTTGATATGTTCGCAACAGACGCCGAACTTCCTCCCGAGGTCTTATTCTTTCTGTTATAAATGCTTTATTGAATTATTTTGTTAGCGTAGTGATCCTTCTAAAATCCCTGTGCATTTCAGATATTGAACAAAGCTGCAATAATAGTTTCTGGGCAAGAACCGACTAATGCTTCGTTGAAGGATAATTGGGATGACACCGATGGTTATTATAGTCAGTTTTGCTAAGCTTTTTCAGTTACATTCATCTGAATTGCAATTTTAAGAATAAGACTGCTAATTTAGTCGCTACTTTAATTAAGCAAAACAGTTTCATTTGTAGTACTGTAAGCTTCTTTGGTGATTAATGTAGGATCATATCGGATCAAGAATACCCGTCCCACTATCTCCACAAATATATCTCCGAAATGATACGTTTTATTATTCAAATTTGTGTGGTCATTGTTTTATGTCAAATGCTGGGTTCGTCTATCCCGAATTGTATAATTGGATAGTTTGAGTAATAATCTTCATTGAATAATTTGGCATGCTATAGGAATTCGTATTGGGGAGATGCTTGATAGTCGGTATCGAGTATATGGCTATACTGGTGCAGGAGTATTTGGTAATGTTGTGCGCGCTACAGATGCAGCACGAAGTAATACACATGTAGCGGTGAAGATTATCCGCAACAATGAAGTGATGTAAGTTTTGCCTACGTTAGGGGCGATCCGCATAGCAAAAAGTTCTTTCGATTCGTCTCATTCCAGTTTGTTTTCTAAGTTATCTGTTAAATAATTTGAATCAAGCTCACAATATTTTTAAAGGAAATTTCAGTTGGTAACATATATTCCAGTTGTCAGATACTATAATATACCGACTATAGCGCTGCGTAAAGAGAATTACAGCCGGGCTTTTTCAAATAAGAGTGGTTAGAAATGTGCTTTGCGGAACGTCCCAAAATATGTTTCTGTTCCTTTAGTCGGCTACTATGACGATTTTTTTTATTTTGAGTGCATCATTTTAATTTATCTAGTTAATTGTAGAATCGATGTGCTGTGATTTGTTACAGCCATGCTGTGATGCTGCAGTGACGACTTTCCTCCGTGATCGGCCGCCATTACCCACCACTACCACTACCATTACCACACATATATAACAATGAATTCTCTTATTTGGTACATTCATCTCAAATAGCCATTAGTCAATTTGTTTGATAGCTTCTATAGTTTACTTTAGTGAGGCTGATCCGGAGGCTTATAGGTAAATTGAAATTGAAATTTGAATTAATTTGATGAGTACAGTAGACTTGAAATTGTCAAAGTCCTCTTCGCTTCTGTCACGAAATACACGAACTTTACTTACTTCGTCATCTTAGATCAAAGGCAGTAACCAGTAACCTTTGAAATCACTCATCACTGAACATGGTAAGGTTAAAAAATTTCATCTTGAATTAAAATTAGTTTTCAGGCGAAAGACGGGTATGAAGGAACTGGATATTTTAAAGAAGTTAAATGAAGCAGATCGAGATGATCGATATCACTGCCTTCAGCTTTATCGGCATTTTTATCACCATCAACATCTCTGTTTGGTTTTCGAATCCCTGAGGTACTAAATTGCTTACAGCTTCCATATTTTTCTATTGGTCCTTGATATCTTCCAGTTTATTTTATTCTCTGTCGTTACATTTTTTCCTCGGTGAAAATTTACTCGTGGAAATATTATGGAAAATTTCTTCAGTATGAATCTTCGCGAACTACTAAAGAAGTATGGAAATAGTATTGGTTTACATATGAAAGCAGTGCGCAGTTATACACAGCAACTTCTAATGGCTCTTAGGTTACTCAAAAAATGCAATATTCTTCATGCAGATATCAAACCGGATAACATTCTTGTAAGTGAAAGAATTATATATTATATTAAAGCATTTTACCACTACAGTGAAGCTGATTGTATAAGCTTTAAAATGAAGTCTTTCGATATTAAAGAGAAAGAACTGCTTTGAAATGTAAGAGTCCTAGCCTAATGACTGGAGGAGTGTAATTAGCAGTTGATTAACCATTTGATTTGGACTGCATCTTTCTAGCTTTAAATTGCATTTTTTTATCCGAATTATGTTCAGTTATTCTACACTAATTATTAACTTTTTATATTCTGGTTTTGTATTAAAATATTAGATCTTAGTAATGCACTCATAGATTTTTATAGATTCATTTATTTACACTTTATAGATTTCTACGCATGCATTCAGAAAATATTGTCTTTTAAAATTTGTAAGAATTCTTCTTTAGGTAAATGATACGAAGATGACTTTGAAATTGTGTGATTTTGGCTCTGGTTGTCACGTTGCTGATGCGGAAGTAGCTCCATATCTTGTATCTCGTTTTTACCGTGCACCAGAAATAAGTAAGTTATCGTCAACAATTTGAATTTAAACTTCCAAAACTTGTTTTTTCTTATACTTGATTTTATCAGTGTATTGTAACCGATCCTGGATTCATGTAATTAGCATTAGATTTTATTGCAGTGCTTGGATTACCATACGATTTTGGCATCGATTTATGGTCGGTAGCTGTTACACTTTATGAAGTGTATACAGGAAAAATTATGTTCGCAGGAAAATCAAATAATCAAATGTTGAAATTTATGATGGATTTAAAGGGGAAATTCCCAAATAAAATGGTGCGGAAGGCACAGTTCAAAGATCAACATTTCGATCAGAATTGTAACTTCCTGTACCATGAAATCGACAAAGTGACACAACGTGATAAAGTTTGTTGGCTTTTTCTTTATATAAGGCTTTTTTTTTTGTATTGCCCGCATTAGTCAATCAATTTTTTTTGAAACATCTTTTTCTGCTAGCCATTAAATTCGGTGCTGTTTATCTCTGCTGGAGGTTCAAACATTTCTGGGTTTACTTCCCTTATTTCATGAACATATGCTGCACTGGATTTCATATATTGATTGTCATTAGTTGGAACACGTTGGTTGTGGACATTCTAGCTAATAGTGTGATAATCAATAATTGATTGGCTATAATCTATTTACAGATAACTACGTTGTCTGTTGTGAAGATCACCCGAAATTTAGAAAACGAGTTGTTGGGTGACCAGGAACTTGACAAGGTAAATAAATTCGACATTTTGATTTTTGATGTTTCTCCGACAGTGCATCTAAATTCTAGATGGATCACAAAGTATTATTTCAGGAAGGTATGCGGAAACTTGAACAATTCCGCTCTTTGTTGGATGCTATGGTAACACCGGATAATTCGAAGCGTTTAACGTGTGGTGAAGCACTTAAGCATCCGTTTGTTGTAGAAAAATGAATTTAAACATTGAATCATTTGTGGCATTTTAGAATTTCAATATATTCATGTAGCGTTTTTTAAGGTTGAGCAAAGAATTTTAAAGCGTTATAGTCCATTTTTAATATCTATTCCAAAATGTCGTTTTCTTTTTTGCTTTCGATTCGCTGATTGCATCGACACATTTCGAATTTCAAAAACAGTCAACTTTGCTATATAAAAAGGAGTAATGAAATGTGTCAATGCGGGCTTCAGTTCATTTTATACCTCATATGATAATTGAATGAAAGTTTTAGGTATCATTCCGAAAGATTCCATTGGTCAAATAGTCATTGCTTTATTTTTTTAAATACATTTGCAAATGCATATTTTAAAATACTTTTGCAAATGCAATTCCCAAATGCATATTTTACTCAACAAACTGCCACTTCACTTTTTTATTTGCGCAGCAAGTGCATTAACAAAGTAGCATCTACTTCAGTTGGATTTATTTCTTCGAAGAATTACATTTAAAACGTAGTACTTTTAGTATCTCAATTATTTAGATAAAACGATCATCGCTCGACAGTTTTTGCTGCCGACATAAAAAGCTTTGATATTTAATGGCCTCAATGAGGTTTCTGTGAATTTTTTTCCCATCACTATTTGCCCAGCAAATATATTTTTTGCATTAAAAAAGTGGCATCTATTTCATTTGCATTGAAATAGGTGCTACTTGATAAAGTAAGAAAGGTTTAAATCCTTGTCAGGATGTTGTCCTATACACAGAGCGAAAGCGTTCTTCGAAAGTCTTTATATATACCCTAAAGCCGACAACTTCACACATTTTCTTACGTTTGATTCATTTATTTTGTTTCAAAATATAATTTTACTCATGAGTTATATTTCACAAGTTTGTATTAATGATGTTGAAAAATTCGTTCCGTAATGGTCATCTTGTAACTAAATGCGAAGTTTTGTTTTACCAGAGGAGAATACAAGAATATGGCATTCAAATATTAAAACTGTTATTCAAAAAATCCCCTCGAAATAAGTGCACAAGGTAAAATGGAGGAAATAAATTAGCTACCGCTCTATGCCATTGTTTGGGGAAAAAAATACATTCTTTTGGAATTTTCATTGTTTCATATTTCTTGCAGTTGTTAAATGAATTTTGTGCTGTTTGCCTTAATTGTGTAATAAAATATGGGACCTTACAATTTCAATTTTCTACCAAAATCATTGATTTTGGGTAAATTTTTGGGGATCGTGCAGAATAATTCTTCCATCAGAGGAACGTTCGAACAAAATACAGCCTACCAACATATGTTCTCAGGAACACATGAAAATTGTTTCATGGATCGGTGGCTAGAGAGCTAGACGGTTATAATTACCGACAATCATTACGGCGAAATAAGGCAATCGTTCAACAGTGCAGTGGCAACATAGAGAATCAGCACTCGGCAATTCGAGGAAAAAGCAGATCTTCCGGAGATAGAGATTTTATTATAGTCACTCACGGAGTAAGTCAAGTTCACATAGAAGGCTATTAAACTACAACATTTGTGAGCAATTTACAAATGTTTGGAGAAATCGATCTATGTTACCAGATGATTGATATTGTGATCATCGCCCTGGGTGAAATGGGTGTTGACGAAACGTTGTCCACAATAACCGCAAGCATGATTACCAGGTTTATCCTGGAAACACATCGTTTACTGTTTCTATTCTGCTCAACAAATTGCATTTTTAACAAAAAAGTTAAAAGCAATTTGCTTTAAAGATACTTTACGACACCTAAATAAGTTCGACCCTAACATATATTCCAAAACCAAAAACAATGGTATTAATGGCTCCTACATTTCTCACGTTTAAAAAATTGCCAATGTACAGACTTAAAAAAGACTTTATTAGACTGAAAAAGACCTTATTAGGCTTGAAAAAATGGAAATCTACGAAAATAATACACAGAAGCAATTTCACTACAGCAGTTCTGGAGCTTTAAACATCTTGTCCGATTATGGTCCTTAACTGAGCTTAAGACATATCAGGAAGGATATCATGTATGATTTATGCTCTTTCCATACAGTATAGTATTACACGTATAAAATATACAGAAATTGATCACTAACCAATTTAATATATACACGTGGATGGCCTAATGCAAAATGACCACCATCACAGTAAACGATACGTTGGTCTGTTTCAATTGGTGGAACTTCAGCGATCAATTTTTGTGCAATATTTGGATTTACTTGTTTCGGCATTATGGTAAATCTTACATTTCGATGATCCGCTTGATCCCATGCCTGTTAAACAATACCTACTATAATCATATAAATGTTTAAAACTTATGCGCTAAAAGCCAAAATTTTTTAACTACTACATTTACCATCTTTGCCTATCTTTTCTTTCCCAAACAATACGTTTTCATGAATTCTTGACCCGAAACCATCTCTTCTCAAACTAATTCGTAAACTCTAATCGGAGCAGTTATTCTCCTGTACTTTTTCTCTCTAAACGCTCAACAAAATCATTTTTACAATTGCTTGGGAAAGGCAAAACATTTTTAATATAAATCTGAAATCAACGAATACCAATGTATTTTCTAAATATGGTTCGTACTTCGAATTAAATGCTTACCTGGCCAGTATGTGTGACTTTATCGTAAATAGCATTTTCTGGTGTCACATCTTTTGGAGCTAAAACGTCCGATTTAGCACAATACGCTTGCGCCAACAAACGTGGTAATCTCCGGCTAACTATTGTCATCTAAACGATAGTACCTGAAATAGGCAAAAACACACTCCGTTAATCACACTCTAACGTATACGCAAAGAAGAAGAAACGTAAGCACTACCGAAATATACACGTAAGTGTTAACTGCTACTGTTCGTTGACGAAATTAACAAACGTGGCCACGGAATGCAAACTTCTTGTCCAATACAATAACTAAGGTTGATTTCAATCTTCATTGTGCTCTTTTGGGAATGAGAGGAAAATTGCAATTTATTGCCGTTTTGAAAATAACATATTAAGCAAAGTTTCCTTATTCTTATAGCGAAAATAGTATTTTCTACATAAATCAAAAGTGTCCGCAACATGCATTCATTACAGTGAACTTTAACCCTATTTTCAAATTGAATGAATTAAAAATAGTACACGATATTAGAAAGTATTCATGGAATAAAAAAAGTATTAGGTGCAATTGATAAATTAATCATAGCATGCATGATCATTTCCCGGTATAAGACAAATTTTGCAAAAATATGCTTGTTATTTTGGTGATACCGGAACATGAATGGTTAATTGTATAATAGTAAAGAATTAATTAAATTTTAACAATCGATACATTTTTTGTTTGAATATTTTGTTAGAAGTTGTCATAATTTAAAAATTTAATCAAAATTTCTAGAAAATTAAAAATATTGTAAAACTTTAACAATGAATGAATGCTCTCACAGTATTTAGCATTGTATGATATCCTGAATGTAATTCTCATTTTTAATGGAAATTTCAAATTTATTTTTTTCAACATAACTCGGAGTAAGCAAAGGAGAAAAGTTGAAATTTTCATGGGAATGATTGACGGATATTTGATTTGCTTCTAAACTTACTCATCCTCTTTTGTTTGCATACCTATCAGTAAGTGGTATGCGTGTACGTATGTGTATGTGTGTGATATGTGTGTATGCGTGTATGTGCAAACCAGTTTTATGCTTTTGCATTATCTTCTTAATGGGATTTTTGTTCCTTGAAACAAAACGAAATAACTTAAAATTCAAAACGAGTTGATTTTTTGTCCGAAAATTCGAAAGTGATAAAAAAGACCGAATGAAATAAATTATTGAGTATGAATTGAAAGTTTATAAAAATATTCATTTATTTTTCATAATTTTTCTTCTACTTTTTTTCATAACATTTTAGAATTAAAATAACAGAATTGATTAATTCTTATCAAATATTCTCCAAGTTTAATAATTTTCACTTTTTCAATCTATTTCTTTTTTTCTTAATGACATTGATATTATGTGTGATATAAATAAAGTTACGACTTGAAATATAACATATAGCGACTCTGTTGAAATATTCTTATAATAAATAATTCTTTTAAATAATTTCATGAATAATTATTTAAACATTTTATATTTTTTGTTTGAATTACAAAAAAATATTTCAAAGTCATTAATCTTTTATTTTTATCTTTTATTGTTTTGTACAAATAATACAAAATTTTGCATTATTTAAAAAAATTGAAAAAAAAGTCTGTAAAGTGATTTCTTTCTTCTCTTTTATATGTAACATAGAAAAAAAAAACAATTTGTCAATAATAAACCCAATTTTTGTCTCTTTTCAAGCAGTCAGTTATGCCTGCCAAATAACTCAATTAATTTCCACGTGAACTTATTGCTCCTTTTAATCATTCGACAATATCTTTTATCCATTCTCTTTATTTCTTATTCTTATCTTGATTTATAAAATTTATTAAAATTAAAAGAAATTTCATTTTCCAATTACTTCATTTATTTACCTGTATTTTTCTTGAGATGCCAATAAATAAGATCATATACTTTCCACTACTTCATCTTTCTTAGCATTAACATTTGCCATATTTTTTTACCAAAAAAAAATAAATATTTACTGCAACTATAATTTCAGGAAAACAAAATTATTAACAGACAGAACAAGGGATAAAATGAAATGCTTTAATAAAAAGATAGAAAGAGGTTCATATTAATGAAATCACACATTTTTAGCAATTAATTAATCATCATTTAATTACAACTTTGTTTCAATGCCTGTGAAAACCGAATAAAAAAAGGTATCCGGTAATAACTGGTTCTTTTTTTCTTATAACCGGTAATGACTGGGAAATGATACATTTTATAATTTTACAACAGTGGATAAGAAAAGAAAAGAAAATAGGGGTAATTAAGAATTGAAAAAAAGAAAATGATATCGAAATAGGATGAAAAATGAGTACAATAAAGAATTTGCAAACAAATAAATGTAGTTTAAATATTGCTGTCTATTGAATGTTTTGGTGCCTCACTTCGGTATGAGTTTGTTAGCATTAAGAAATGCGGAAGATGATTTTTTTTTATATTTAATTTCGATGGA